TATACAGGTAGTGCATGTAAAATGAACAGCATTTTTGTCACGTCATTTTAAGTTATCTGACGAATGTTCCAGTCCCTGTTCTGTTATTCGTAGCTGAAAATAGAAAACGATCTTAAATAAAGATGAATCCGACTGAATCAATCTTTGATAGTTATTTGTTTACATGCACCATATGCTCATGTTTTATAACGTTAACATTTACACCTTGAACTGATTTTCAATCAGCTATGAGGTGCGTCATAGGGAATTGCAGCCAAAATGCGCACGCATCAAACAGCATGGCCACATATCTCGCAAACTTTGGTATGCGAACACACGATGCTGTTCTGTGCGTAACTTCCTTGCTCAGTGGAATTAGTAGTCAATAAGAGAAAAAATAAGCTGAGTGGGGTTCTAACCTGACACCTCTAAAATGCAAAGCTATAGATTCGTTATCTGCTTCGAATTTATCCTGAAAAACAGGCCAATCAATCTGGCTGGAACACATACTAAATCTGAACTTCAGCTGGTATAGCGAATTAATATAAAGAAGTTTGAAAGTGAATTCTCATATTAAAACAATGTTCGGACAGGCCATTTTAAACCTAATCAAACCTGCAGTCACAAATAACCACAACTGACTATTATGTTCACATTCAACAATAATTCTTACCGAAAACGTTCACACCAATAAAACGCATATTAAAACGATGCGGCGAAAATCACATCTAGATGAAGAAGAAAATGATAGAAAAAAAGTGAAAATACTAACGTCGTGCAAAGAGATATAACTGACAATAACAATTTCGCAATAAAACTTTACATCAGAATAATAAATTTTACTTCGAAATAAATGAACAGATAAAACTTTACGATAGATTCGCAGGTAATAAAAATGTTAAAATACGGCCAATCAAGATAAACGCTACAGCATATATAGAATAAGTTTTAGTAAAGACAAAACAGTTTTTTCTTCTACGGAAGGAAAGATGGAATAACTTACAGTAGCGGTTAACTAAAAAGGACTTACGATCTAGCATCATATTAAACATGGTTATCATAGAACCTGTCAGTATCAGGTGGCTGCAATGGTTTTTGCCCGTGATCTTTCTTCGCTTTACGCAGTTCCACATGGCCAATACAGTGTTCACATTCAGCTTCGCCTTCACTCTCGGACGACGATTCGTTCCACTGTCGCGGTTTCACGTAAATACAACAGCCTAAAATCTTCGATCAAAATCCCGCATTTCAATTGCGTACGAAGATACTTTCGAACGTTAAATAATGAATTGTTAAGTTAAATGAGCGGTAATGCACAGACCTCGTAAGAAACTAAACGAAATATCGGATTATTATAACTTTACTCAGTGAAGCGGAAGAAGCTCTGAAAAACAAAAGGAAATGAACCCATACGAAGTTTTCATAGAAACACTGCAGTCATTAGTAAAAAAGGGTATTTGGCTCTGTTCACTGGTTAATAAAACCCTGGAATGTAAAAATATGTTACCAGCAGAAAAGAATAATCAAATGCCAATATACAAGGTGAAACGCGGCATCTGATGCGCGGAAACGATCAGGAAACTAAGTTACATTGCCACACGTTAAAACTGTATGAAACGGTGCCGGGTGAAAGGCTGAAGAAGGACGTCGACATTATCAAAAACGAGTTTGGCAACGTGGCAGGTGGGTCAGCGATAAACGTCACCAACGGGCGGGTCAACAGGTGGGTCAACGATAAACGTCACCTACGACCAGTCCAATGAAAACGCAGAAAACACATGATGGACATAACTGTGGCCTTCCAAAAACAAAAATAAGGTTGCTAAATCAAATGAATATGGAACGCAGATTAAAAACATAGTAGGTTTGTGCCACGGTCGGTCAATGTCTTGTCATCTTTAACAGGTTGCAAAATAAGTACAACTTCGTTGGAAGAAAACAAGAAACTACATTGCATAGTGGCCACTTAGCTGTAGATACCATTATAAAAAGGAAACAAGGCATACCCGGTTGATCACACAATAGAAATAAACCCGACTACATGCATCACACAAAAATAGTGATACATATCGTCATTAATCACTTAACTCAAGAAGAGTGATGCACTAGTAGTTACTAATGACTCATTCCCATGCTGCCCCTGATTTAGAAAAGACCATTAGCCGAATATGAAGTCATACCTTGTATCGGGGAACGTGAAAAAATATAGCGTCAGAAGAACTCTGATTTGACAGCTCCTAAGCCCGGATGAAAAATGAAGAGAATTGGGGAGAGTGGAGAAAACCTGCATAAAACTTAGCAACCTCTTATGGTATTGCCGTTACAGAACGCTTTACCGGCTCGGTCGTCCTACTGCTTACCATGGGCCGCAAAGATTGCAGTAGAACTGAAGAAAATTGCAAAACGTCAACGATAAGAACCTGCATCACACATGCTCACACGTAGAGGCGATGCAGCACAGCGATGGCTGCCGAAGATCCACAACAATAAGACGAAGATACCGGTCAGCAACGGAGCTACTACGCGTTCCGAACAGGAGGCAGAGAGCGCGCTGAAAATATTGCACGTCAGCTAAGGATCCACCGGTAGGATACCAACGGTGGGACCTTACAGTCGGAAATATAAATATATCCGCACTCACAGGGAAATAGCAGGAGCTAGTTGATGAGGCTGCAGGGTACTAACTCGACATAATTGGACTTTCAACAACGAAGTGCAAAGATCCTGGAATTTTGAACCTCTAAAGGTGGAAACC